CTGATGGTGATGGAGAATGATGATGATCAAAACTGTGATCGATAATGATTTTGATGGTTTTTAATGATGGAAGATTATGTTAATGATAATTGAGAGGACGAAGGACGATAAATGATGACAATGGCAAAAATGTTACAGCAAATGAACGTCTTGTAGGTGTCAATTTATTTACAATACAAACAGACCTACGTAACTATATATGTACATGCTCTAAATGTCTTGTTATAAGGCATAATGAGTGAAGTAGAAGAAAAATATTAAATGGTTCTTTAGGTTATTTTATACAGCCAAAGTATAAGTAACTATGCTAGCCGTTTATATGTTGAAAATTGTTAGCCTTGTTTGAATTTAGTACTGATAAATATTTTGTCTAGTACTTTTTGTCCAGACTAAATGAGATATTATGAATCAAACATTTAAATGGTTGCTTATAAAATTAAATGTTTACAGATATGATGAGGTACAGGTTATGATAATTGTTTTCGGTCATTTTCTTTTATTATATTTAACATAAACATGGCACTTCTGAGTAGTTTTAAACCAGAACCACTTATCTGCGATTACAAACTAAGGCCAGTAAGTAAAATATTTGTACATTCATAGTTTACAAAGTGATGCATGTAAATCCATTTTTGCCTTGGGAGGGCAGTATGCATCCCGGGGTAGGGACGTTAGTCCACTAAGGTCCCAATGACCAGAATACCCCAACCTAATCAAACTATGCATCCCAGGGTAGGGACGTTACTCCACTAAGGTTCTGGTGACCCGCATACCCCAACCTAATCAAACTATGCATCCCGGGTTAGGGACGTTACTCCACTAAGGTACTAGTGACCACCAGCATACCCCACCAAATATTGACCAAAAGGTCTTTTAATGTTGAGGACTTCTCTGATAGTATTTTTCTTAGAAGAAAAAAGATCGAGATGAACAGAAGACGCAAGCGAATCGAGTGAGGTAAAGTTGAATGCAAAAACTGAGTAGTGTGTCCACGGAAGAGAAGAAAACCAGAATAACGGTTGTGGCGAAGGGTCATTGACATAGAACGGGCGGGTGGGAGAAAAAAATGAAGAGGGTGGCCAGGAGATTGAACGATGTCACAGGGGGCTTAAAGCAGAAAGTATTGTTGTCGTTAAATGAAAGGAATAGTTTAAAAATAAGAAAAGATAGTTGGATAAGTTGAGTATGTAGCGTGATCAGAGAGAAGTCGAGCAACGTAAAGTTCAAGACGTTTAATTTGAAAACTATACGACATGGAATAGAAAAAAAATCGCAAGTTGTTCCCGAGAACAACTTGCGATTTTTTTAAGTACATTTCCAAGTCAGGTAGGGGAAATTTACACCTAAAATTATTGCTATAGTTAATAATGATATTTAAAAAGATGATAATGATTTTAATAATAATAATATTATTATTAAAGTCACTCTGACCATAATGTTGTATTTAATTAGATTTTAATTGGGTTTTTTGACTTAAGAACTTATATTAAACTTCATCCACACTTTGCATCACCATATTTAATGTAATTAGTTAAGCATTTTCTTAAGTTTATTTAATTATAGCCTAATCAATAGGCAATTTTTTTTTATATTAAATTTTAAACATGTTTTCTTAATATTGTGGCACTCTTATACTCTAATACTTTATATTATCATGAATTATCACATCAGAATGGTGTAATGCATACTACAGGTGCTGGGGTGGGCGCGATCGTGTGGGGATTTGGTGTTTCGGTGCTGCTTGTGTCGTCATCAGGAATTATTCCCGATGATGGCATGATTGGTGTTGGGATGTTGGGTCCCTGTACGGTGGCGTGCGTTTCGATGCTTGGAATGTGTATTATGCTATCTCATCTGAGATTAATCAGTGGAACTTTCGGTTTTATCATATTATCTTGTAATATTGTTTGCATATACCTTATACCGTACTGTTTTGCCTAATTTTATAATTTTGTGATTTTTGCATAAAAATTAATTTGATTGATTGATTGTTATGTATATGCATGTGTGGAAAATACAAACAAACAAGGGAAAGTAATCGAGTACAAAGTTTGGCGTCACTGTATTTAAATAGAAGATGAAAAATATAATTAAGAGAATCAGATGTAGATCGTTGAAAACGAAAACCAAACTGAAAGTTAGAAAGATTAGACTGCACAACAGTATTAAGTCGATCACATATGACACCTTCAAGGAGTTTGCATAAAGGAGAAGTGACAGACACAGGGCGATACTTATGAAAATTTATTTTATCTGATGAATTATGAGGATGCACAATGGCTTCGTTGCAATCTGCAGGAATACGACAATGGTTAACGGAAAGAATAAACAATTTAGCCATGAAGAGGCACACGAATGAACAACTAGCTTAATAACAAAGTAACGAAGAGAGTCAGGACCTGGAAATTTAGAGTTACTAAGATTTTTAGATGCAGAGAGAACGTCAGATGGGGTGATATTTAGAATGTCATGCAATAGAGATTGAGCACATGAATGCGGGATAGAAAAAGGATAGTCAGAAGATATCAGCAAATATCAAATTAAACTGCGAAGAAATAACGTGAGGCGAATTAATGGGTGTACTGTTGTGGGATTTGAAAGTTCGCGAGGACTTATTGCTTGTTGGTAAAATGCTTTGTATTTTTGACCGCCAGTTACATTGAACGTCTATCGTAAACGGAGCCATCTCAAGCACCAATATACACCTTGTTAGTTATTGAATATCATTCTAACTGAATATTGTGATGGACCACATGATGAATATTAAATAAAAAAGATTGTGAAAATCATATCTATTATCGGTGCTATGACGATTGATTCCAAGAAAGAATGTTTAACTTTACAAGTAATTAATTTCACACCATTTATCCTGTTCACACAATACCTATTTCACTTAAAATGATCGCAATTTTTATATGCATGTAAAAGGAGCAATTATTGTCGGTTACATACTGATTACAGCCCAATTATCTGTTACAAACAATATTTAATGATGATTAAAATCATGGTGTTTTTCTTTATTAAATCAATTCAAAAATAACGATATCGATAAGGTGATTGTAATACGATAGGAATAATGATGACACTAACGATAGCAACAACGGTAACGATAGCCATCTCAAACATCAATATACACCTTATTAGTTATTGAATGGCAACGGTAATTCATAGTTTACTTTTGCTTAATAATAATAATAATACTATTGTTTATTTTTTTTTTTAAGGGACTTGCGTTATAACCGAATAACTGAACTAAACCAATGTGTATTCAGTGGTTTGACTAGTCTTCAAACATTGTAAGTGACAAATCAAAGGTTATGAATAATTGTATTATCATATCAATTATTTTTAGTTAATGTATGATTGTTTATAATTGTGATAAATTGTAATAATAATAATAATACTAATAATAATGATAATAATAATAATAATAATAATAATAATATTATTATTATTATTATTATTATTAATAATAATGATAATAATAATAATAACAATAATAATAATAATAATAATAACAATAATAATATCTTTTTATACATGATACATAAACATATATAAGAATATACCTAATCACACACATTAATGAATATCACTCACACACATACTGATAGAGTGTAGGACAAATAGTAGTGGTCAATGCATAGCCATTCGACCGTAACAGGCGTTTATTATATACGTTGCTTTGTAACATACGATGTTAGTCCACTGATGAAGCCCTAACCTACGAAACGTTTGGAATAAACCTGAA